TGACCATGACTCCCAAACATATCGACCCAAGTTACGAAATTGACAAAAAATACCAGGAAAGAACACAAAGAAGCATAGCATAAGTCTACAGCTCCTTTCCACTGATGCAATTAAGAGAACTTGACATAACGCAAATATTAAAACTTCAACAAGGTGGGTAAAAGATTGACACTATTATGCCGTATATCCTAATTTTATTACTGAAACAAGTCAACAACCTCAAGGAAATTGCAAACATACAAACAAGTCCTAAACCACTCGTGCCTACAGACAAGAAGGTAGCAGCTTCAACAGACTCTTGATATGCACGACATATACTATTATGCTCTAAGACGCATGATTCTACAGTCATCGACCACGTCCTCTACTATCATAGCCATATCCCCCATAACCCCTTCCACGATAAGAGCCTCGAAAACGACCACCATGACCAGATCCCCTACCTCCTCGGACCCCTCGAAACCTAGAAAAATCTCCAAAAGTCTGCATTTGCCGGATAAAATTAGCTAGTCAATAACTAGAATACGAAGATATCAATACAATGATGAACGTACCTCTGTGTCTAACTTCATCTGCTCTGAATACCTAGTTCTTCCATGATTTGGGCCATTGTCCAGTGCATTACAAGAAAGGGAATCGAAAAAGTCATCCTTGTTATAAACAGGCTGCGGAGCAAAGAAGTATATTTGACAATTGGTATATGATAGAGACTCGTATCAAGTGAACATGTAGATATGAATACAGACAAAAGAAAGAATCGCACTGACCTCAATCTTTGGCAATTCAGCATCATCTTCATCTTGCATATAATCTTCGTCACTGACGTTTCCATTCTCATCTTTCGACTGGGATTTGTTACTTTTTCCCAGATGACCCCAGACCTCATCCTTTTTGAACTTCTCATTCATAGCCATGAAATCAAAATCTTCAGTGAATTTTTCCACTGGTGTTCTCTGAGAATCATATTAGGAGACAAACTATGGAATCATGAAGGTTAAACATTAAATCAAATTATACAAGAAAGATGAAACTGGTCACTAAAAGCTCTAAAGGATACCTGAAGAGGAAAGATCTACTAAATTGGTGGTTGAAAATTTGAATATTTAAAGATCTTGATATCATGAATTTAATGAAATTTATGTGTATAACGCCAAAGCAAGTCATTACCGCAGGTCCAGGTCCAAATCCTCTACCGCCACGACCTCTGTAATTGTTACGCATCCGATAAGTAGCTCCATTTGGCTACAAGGTCAGCAGTAAAATATGTTATTAGCATCTCAGCCACATTTTGCAGTTCAAGAGCCATAAGTGATTTTTTTACACTGGATTAACAACTTCAATCACACCCGCAGAAAATGGTAAGAAAGCAACAACAAAAGTTACCCCTTCCATCAATTAATTGAAGATAATGACAATCGAACAATTTCAGATACAGCCTGCACTGAAGATAATATTTTAAGCAATGCAAAAACTGGAAATTGGGTCTCATAAGATTTCACAAAACAACTAATAACAGCTAGGGCAAAACGTTGGTGCCAGATCCTTTAATTTCTCCTAAATCATCATTTTGTTGTTACGTATTAACCTCGTTAATTCATAAAATCCAAGGACCTCTTAAATTCAAGAACTAAAACTATTACAAGCACTCTTCATCTTATTAGCATTCAATCAAAAAGTCAAATAAAATTTCGAGACATTAAAAAGACTAACGTGTGCATGAAAGGAGAAAGGAACACCTTTGGGAATCTTGTGCTTGGGGGCAAAGGTAAAATTGGTGGCAGAGTTTCAGTTGCAACTGGAACTGGCGGTTCTGGAGATGGCTTTGGTGACAATTGAACTACTTCCACATCCTTCTGAGTTGTTTGTAAATGTTGAGTTGAAGGAACCATAGATGGTCCAGATCGCAGCAGCTGACCAGGGGTTATAAGTGAAGGGGTGGGTGTTTCAGCAAGAACTGATCTTGATGTCCCAGAAACAGATGTCAGAGGCTGAGACATGGTCTGATGTGGCAAGGCTGCTGGGCTGGATATTGCACTAGGTTTGCTAGCAACCGAAGGCCTTCCAGCATTGTCAGGAATTGTTGAAGGCAGCGGAGCCAAAGTTGGCAAGCTAGAACTCTGTGTTAATGTAGGGTTAGCTGAAATAGGAGCTTTGATTGGAATTGGATTTGGCATTGTTTCAGATGCTGATGCCACAGATTGCAGTGGAGGAACACTCAAAGACAAAGTTGAAGAAGGTAAAGAAGTAGTGCTTAAACTAGTAGAACCAGTGCTATTAAGAACC